ATTAGTGATTAGGCTTAAACAATTTTTTGTTAACCCCTCAGCCACTGGATCAGTTATAATCGCCCTGTCCCTTCCTATATTTTCAAAGGTCTTATTTTGTCTAACCAAACCCCTTCGTCTTCAAATGACTTATGCTTTTCTCAACTTCAGTTAAAGCCAGAGTTACTTAGCAATCTCTCAACGCTTGGTTATGAGCAAATGACTGAGATACAAAAGCAAAGTTTACCTAAGTTATTGGAAGGTAAAGATGTGATTGCTCAGGCAAAAACAGGTTCAGGCAAAACCGCCGCTTTTGGTTTGGGCTTATTACAAAACCTAAATGTAAAACGTTTTCGCATTCAAGCTATGGTGCTATGCCCAACTAGAGAATTAGCCGACCAAGTGGCGAAAGAAATTAGAAAGCTAGCCAGAGGCATCCACAACATAAAAGTGTTAACTCTATGTGGTGGCGTTCCAATGGGACCACAAATTGGTTCTTTAGAGCACGGTGCGCATATTATTGTGGGTACACCAGGCCGTATTTTAGATCACCTTGATAGAGGCAGAATAAACCTACAAGAGTTGAATACTTTAGTGCTAGATGAAGCTGATAAAATGTTGGAAATGGGTTTCCAAGAAGCCATTGGCGCTATTATTGAAGAAGCCCCAACTAATCGTCAAAGCTTGCTGTTTAGTGCCACTTTCCCTGAACAAATCAACTGGATTGCCGGAAAGGTGTTGAGAAATCCAGTGAATGTTAAAGTTGACGGTACTGAAAGCCATGCTTCAATTAAGCAAGCGTTTTATCATGTTGATGATCATGACCATAAACTTGAAGCGATGCGTGCATTATTGCTAGCTCACCAGCCGGAGTCTTGCGTAGTATTTTGTAATACTAAACAAGGCACATTTGATGTCACTGATTACCTAACTAGTTACGGTTTTTCGGCGGTGGTATTAAATGGTGATTTAGAACAAAAACAAAGAGACCAAACTCTAGTTCGATTCGCTAATAAAAGCGTCTCTATTTTAGTTGCAACAGATGTTGCAGCCAGAGGTCTAGATATTGATAAACTGGATGCGGTCATTAACTTCGACCTTGCTCATGATCCTGACACTCATGTTCATCGCGTAGGTCGTACAGGTAGAGCAGGCGCCCAAGGTATAGCTTGTAGTTTATATCAAGCTAAAGATAGCCATAAGTTGGTTGATATCGAAGACTACCAAAAAATATCAATTGAAGAGTCGAGTTTACCAGCCCTTAAACAAGACCAAGAAGCTTACCAGCCAACGATGGCAACACTAAGAATTGATGGTGGTAAAAAGCAAAAAGTAAGACCTGGAGATATCCTAGGAGCGCTAACGGGCAAAGGCGGCATATCTGGTCAAGAAGTTGGAAAAATTAATGTCTTTGATTATTGCGCCTATGTAGCCGTTGACAAAACAGTTGCTAAAGACGCTCTGCATAAACTTGAAAAAGGCAAACTAAAAGGCAAAGTTTTTCGAGTTTGGCGAGTGCGTTAACCGCTTTTAATTCATAAAGACAAAAGTAAAAAAGCCACTGTTGAAAACTTAAATGTACTATTTGCAGCTACTTACAAACATTTAAGGCGAACAGTGGCAGAGGAAGTCGTCAAAACTTTCTAATAAGCACCTTTTCCTAAAAGCACACATGGAATAGTGGCTAATAAAATTTTCACATCTAATAACCAGCTTTGGTTTTTGATGTAGTTTTTGTCTAACGCTAGCTGCTGTTCAAACGTGGTATCAGCTCGGCCATTCACTTGCCACATACCTGTGATACCTGGCTTACAGAACAATCTACCCATGGTTTTACTATCGTATTGATTATATTCAGTCACCAAATGCGGTCTCGGGCCAATCAATGCCATATCGCCTTTAACAACATTGAATAATTGCGGCAGTTCATCAATTGATAACTTTCTGATCACTCTGCCAACTCTTGTTACGCGAGGATCTTTAAAGAATTTCATACAGACGCCTTCTCTATCGCTTTGACTTCTATCTGGCTCTTGGTATTTAGGGTCTGAAGGAACGCGCATTGAACGCATTTTGTAACAGGTAAACCGTCTTCCATTTTCACCAACTCTAGTTTGGCTGAAAAACACCGCACCTCTGCTTTCTAACTTAATTAATAAAGCGGTTGCAATGATAATTGGCGATAACAATAACAATGCCAGGATTGCGATGCCTCTTTGTAACCACATTGGTAAACCTTGATGTTTAGAGGTAGTCGCAGCTACTTTATTCTGTTTTTCTTGATATTGAATGTAATTTGGTAATGTTTGTTTAATGATCATGTTATTACCCTCTCTAAACCTGCTTTAATAAAAATGTTCTGACTAAAAATGTTGGGGTGCCGATTACATACCTTTTGAATTTGACTTTTGGCTCTTGCAGTAATCTCCATACCCACTCCAAGCCAAGCTCTCGAAATAGCAATGGGGCTCTTGGAATAGCACCTGAGAAATAGTCAAATAATCCACCGACAGCTAGCACTGACGTGCACTGCAATTTATCTATGTTATGTTGGCACCACTGCTCTTGATTAGGAGAGCCTAATCCAACTAACACAATATCCGCATTACTCGCATTTATCTGTTCGATAATTTGTGCATTGTCT